GTGGGTAGGGCACTTGCCTTGCACCAGGGCTGGATCCCTGATACCCTATATGGTAACTCAAGCCCCTCCAGAAGTAATTCCTGAGTGTAGAGCCAGGAGTAACCCCTAAAAATGGCCAGGTATACCCCCGTACCTGCACGAACCCCATTTCTCCCTGGTTCACTGCCAGTCCTCCTCTAACTTTTCTTCTTCAGTTTCCCTCTGTAAATAGCACCCCACCCTTTTGTTTTGTTTTGTTTGGGGGCCACACCCAACAGTGCTCAAGGCTTACTCCTGGCTCTGTGCTCAGGGATCCTCCTGGTGTTGCTCAAGGTATCACATGGGGTCCTGGGAATTGTATCTAGGGAGAACAGTGCCCTGCCTACTGTACTGTTGTTCCAGCCCCAATGACATCCCTTTTTAGACTACACTGCTTGAAGCATAATCTATGGATTATCTTTACTTCTTCCTCACTTCCCACATCACCATTCAATACTTTGGGTCTCTCTTCTGTCTTCACACCCCTGAGTCACTGTTATCTCCTACTTGGATTACTACCTCGATTGCTACTCACCCAGGGCCCAGTCTTAACAACCACAGAGGCAGACCAGTGGTTTTCAACTTTCTAAAGCTGTCCTTGGATCGGTTGTTGAAAACCATAATGTAAGCTATAAATCAAAGAGCACATCTCATACCTAAAAGTCTACTGGTTTCTATCTGTACATGGACTAAAACCCATACTCTTCACACGACTTCTTATAAGGCCAAGATCCAGGCAGCTCTAGCCCATGTTCTTGCTCTGTCTGTTGCAACCACGCTGACCTCCTGTTGCTTCTTGCAGTGGGTAGGTTCTTTGCATTTCACATTCCTACTCTATCTTTCCTAAGGATAACATTCAGATCAAAGTTCTAAACCTTTTATCTCAAAGAAACATCTCTAGGGGCTGGAGCAAGGGTACAGTGGATAGGATGCTTGCCTTTCACATGGCCAACCCAGGTTTGATCCTGAGCATGCCATATGGTCTCCTAAGCAGTGCCATGAATGATCCCTGGGCACAGACCTAGCAGTAAGCCACTAGCATAGCTGGATGTACCCAACCCCAACCCCTCCCCCCCCAAGAAAAAACAAAAAAAAGAAGCCTCCCTGTCATCTCTATGTAAAGAAACAGTATCCCTCTGATCATAAATTCTGTTATCATATGACTTTCTTTACAGCACACTCAATACTACTACCAGAAACCATTTTATTTATCTGCTTATTGTCTATTGTTTTTTTTTTTTTTTTGCTTTTTTTTGGGTCACACCCGGCTATGCACATGGGTTTTCCTGGCTCTGCACTCAGAAGTTACTCCTGGCGGTGCTCAGGGAACCATATGGAATGCTGGGAACTGAACCCAGGTCGGCTGCAAGGCAAACACCCTACCTGCTGTGCTATCTCTCCAGCCCCTATTGCTCTTCTCAAAGTGTATGTTTTTTAGGAGCAGCAAATTTGTCCCTAGAATAAAGTCTGACATAATAAACATCCAATGCTTTTGAACAAACCCCTCTAAAAAATCACATTTATACTAGACAAAAATCACCTCCTAGGTATCAACTCACATGGTGAAAAATAAGTTAAGGAAAAAACATTTAAATTGATGGATATAGGACTCAGAGCAGAATGCTGGGATACACTGTCCTATGGCCCAGTACCGATCCTAACTCTTAGGGTAATCTCATTGACAAACTTCACTGAGAAATAGATCAAGTTAAAATAACAAAATAATGTGTGGCCATTAGACTGAGATGGCTTTAATACTTTAGTTGAAGCCTAATTAAGCATACCCAAACCTAGCCTATAGTGTGTCAAAGTTAAGAGGAAAAGGGCCTGGGATGGAGCTCAGTGGGAGAGAACTGACTTGTGTGAGGGCTTGGGCTCAATTCCCTGCAAGGTCAGAGAGAGAGAGAGAGAGAGAGAGAGAGAGAGAGAGAGAGAGAGAGAGAGAGAAATTGAAAACAGGGCCCAGGCACCCCTCCCTGTCCTTCTTGGACAGGAATGACCCCCATAAAAGAAACCGAAACCTAAGAATGACCGATCACAGCCATCCACGCAAACAAGGGAACAGCTTTAGCTATAACCAGTTATTTTCCTTGCTTTGCTCCCTCTTCTCCATGAAGTCCTTTTCATAACTCCTGCTACTTCCAGCTAGGTGCTGCCCCATTGAAGTTGATTTTTGACCAAGTAATTTTTTGTCTTTTTTTTTTTTTGGCCACCCCAAAGGTGTCTAGGGCTTATTTCTGGTGGTGAGGATCATGTGTGGTGGCGGGAATCTAATCGGAGTCAGCTGCCTAGAAGGCAAGTGCCTTATCCCCTGTACTATCTTTCCCACCCTCTTTTCAAATCAGGTATGTCTGTCATTTAACACTGTATTAGATGCAACTGTACAGCATCACTTTTGTACACACTGTGAAATGATGACACAGAAATAAAAAAATTTGAGTGTGTGATGAGAACTTTTGAAGTAAATAGCTTACTTAGAAAATAGAAAAATGAAGAGAGGACAGAGAAGGGAAGAGGGAGAGTAGAGAGAAGAGAGGGAAAGAGTGATGGGGCAGGGAGAGTGACAGAGAGAGAAGAGAGAGACCCAGCTACAAAAGAAAAGAAAAAAGCAAAGAAGAGGCAGATGAGGGTAATTCTGAATAAAGTGCTCCCCAATGAGAACTTTTAAGATCTACCCTATAAGCAATTCTCAAAGATGCAATACAGTACTATGAAAGTTGCATATTATATATTTTGTTCATTCAAATAGACATAAAATTTCTAATATCCCTGTTGATCTTTGAATAATCACATGCCACAAAACTCATACTTTCAAGTGTTCAATTCAGTTTTTTTTTAAAAAAATCTACCCACATATTTGTGCAACTATACCACTACTGGAATTCTGAATATTTCATCACCCTAAAGAGAAACCCCATATCCATTAGCTGTCATTTCCTTGCACCCCGCAAGTTTCTTCACCATAGGAATAGCTGGAACCTTTGCTGTGAGTCTAAGGGATTCAGGGAATTCAGAAGCAGACTAGGGCAGCTAGCGCTAAGTGAAGTAACTCAGAGGAGGAGGAAGACAAATATATCATTTCACTAAAATGAGGAAGATACAGAAATAAAGCACAAGAAAAGCACACTCAGAATGTTAAAAACAAAACGGTTATTATCAGAGAGAGAAAAAGGGTGTAAATTGGGTAAATGGAATCAATTGTTGGTGGAAGATGTAGATGACTTCATGGTAACAATTAATGTAGTATAAAGAGATGTTGGATTATCAAGCCCTGTGCCTGAAACCTATATAATGAACCGACCAATGTTAAATCAGTAAGAATCTTTTGGGTCGGGGGTTTGAGCCAGGCAGTATTCAGGGCTTATTCTTGGCTCTGTGCTCAGGGAATCACTCCTAGCAGTGAGTGGGGGAATCTTACTTGGCAGGGATGGAATCTGGGATGAACCCAGGGGCAGCTGTATGCAAAGCAAGCGCCTTATCCCCTGTACTGTCTCCTTAATAAAAGATCTTAAAATATCCTCAGATCTCAAAGGCAAATACAATGTGCACATTTCAGTGCTTACTATATACTATTCTAAAGGCTACACAGAGATTACCTCAATTTCGGCAATAACATGTACAAGAAGATACAATAATGATAACTATGGATACTAAAGCAACTATGTGCAGGCCTGCACACACAGGGCTGGGATGAGTAACCTTTAGGATTCTTAACTACTTGCAACTACTATCTTCCACTGACGTGAGTAGCTGTGGAATTAGAATCAACAACTAAAATCCATGGCCCACAATAATTCAACCTCTTAAACTGAAGCAAGGCAAACTGATTTGGCCAACAAATCACAGCACTGCATTATCTCCCCTTGGATTTCCATCTTATGGAAGCTAATTTATTATTGTTGTTGTTTCTCTTTGTTTTGGGCAGTGCTCAGGGCTTACTCTGGGTTCTGCACTCAGGGATCACTCGTGGTGGGGGTCGGGGAAGTGGAAAGGATGGTTGGAGGACAGTGTGCGGTGCTGGGGATTGAACACCGGGTCAATTGCATGCAAGGACTTAACCCTAGTACTATCTCTCTGGATCCCCTGACAGCTACATCTAGAACCTAATCACAACGAGCTATCTAATTGCAGGTTCCTAACCCAGCTCCTTAATACTTTGTTGCCAAGTAGTCGGAACAGGATAAACCTTGAGATTGAAGGGTGGTTTTGCCCTTTCAAGCAGGCCCCTCCGTCTCCGTTTTTGCATGGAACATCACCCCGGGAATGCTTACTATACTCGGAGCTCTATTTTCCTCCCACCCGGGGCAGGATGCACAACCTCTCCCTCCCTCGGGGGCACCCACAGCCCGCGCGGCTCTGCCCGCTGCCGTCCCGCAGCGCCCCCCACAAGCCGACGGGGTCTCGAGCGCACGCAGCGCAACCCTACCCCACCCCCACCCCAGCGGCAGGCGCAGACCACGGCTCAGGCAGGCCGAGGAGACACCCCCCGCTCCCCCCAGTACAGCTCGCCGCCCGAGGTCGGCCTCCGGGAGCCGAGGGTCGAGGAACAAGGGACACCCCGACCCGGGGCGGCGGGAAGGCGGCTGCACTTCGGAAATGCCATCGAACACGCGTGGCGACCGGGGAGCTCGAAACGAGGGTGTGTGTGTTTCTCTCTAGGCCGACGGGAGAGGCGAGTCAGGGCCAAGTTGGGGGTGCTCGCCCAGGGGATGACAGCAAAGGCCTCGAACCCGGGTCCCCGCTCCCAGCTCAGCCGACCTCCAAAGCGGGCCGGCGCGAGGGTCCGAGACTGGGCCCTCGGCCGTCCCGCCCCGGCACCCCGGCCCGCCTGCACGGACGCTCTGGCCTCAGGGTCCCCGGCCCTGGGATGGGTCTGGGGGGTCGCGCACACCCACCCCCCGTCCCCCCTGCCCCGCGCCATCTTGGAGCGCCGAGACGGCCGCTCCGCACCGGCCCGAACCGCTGCTGCCACGGCTACTCACCCGCACTGCCCGGGGCCAGCGCCCCTGCCACCGCCGCGACCCTTGCCACGGCCACGAGGAGCAGCAGGACGCCGCGCGCCGACGCCCGCACGGTCGCCATGGCCAGGCCGGGCGGGTCCGGAGCGGCGCGGGATGCTCGGACCCAGCCTGGCAGCCGCGGCCGCTCCCGCAGGCCCCGCCCGGAGCCCTGGGCCTCCCGATGATTGGCTGAGGCGCGCCTAGGCCCCGCCCCCGGCAGCACGGAGATTCCAAAAAACCTCCAGGGGGCGGGAACGTCCCGGGAACACCCCCCCTCCACCCACCCCTCCCCAACCTCCCAGCTTTGCCCTTTGTTATGGCCCAGCGGGGCGTCCGCTTCTCGGGCAGTTTCTCCGCAGCCCGGTTCTCCTAAAAGGGGAGTCAGAGGTTGTCAGCGCTGGAAAAGGACCTAGCAAGTCTCGACCACCGCCGCGCTGTGCAGTGGGGACTGCCCGGACCGCGCTGGTAGCGCGCGGGTTAACCTGGGGCTAGCCCAGGGACTTGGGACTTGCTTCCTTCGGGGATCCTTTTGAGACCGTGTCAGCCCAGAGCTGCTGAGCAGGGCCCAGGCATGGGTTCACCACCGAATTCCCTCGGAACAGCCCATCCTCCAGGTGTCTTTGATATGTTCTCAGCTCCAATTCCTCCCCGGGAAGAAGCAGGAGAGGAATGCAGTTGTTCCAACACAGGGGAGAGTTTTAGATACGGGCCTTGGAAATCAGACGGAGTTTATACCCTAAAGGGCCAGTCGGAGGGCCAGTGAGAGTGCTGCCTACCAGGTTTGGTTCCCGGGCAGTGCATGGTCCACTGAACACGGAACCGGGTGTAAGCCCTGAGCACCGCCTAAAGCGAAGCTGGAGATGCGACGCGACTCCACGCCCCTCAGTTACTTAGGAAAATTGTGAGGATCCCCTGTTATAGCTCTCCCTCTCTAGTGAATACTTTCCTCTTCCCTTGTTTAAAAAAAAAAAAGCATAATCGGAGATTTTCTTTAATTCATTTTGGGGGGGGCACAACCGGCGATGCTCAGGGGTTACTCCAGGCTCTACGCTAAGGAAACACTCCTGGCGGTCCTTGGGGACCATATGGGATGCTGGGGACCGAACCCCGGGTCAGTCATGTGCAAGGAAAACACCTACCTGCTGTACTAACAGTCGGCCATAATTGCAGATTTAAAAGAAATATTTTGTCTACATTTTCCTTATTGTCTCACTATCCTTATTCTCACTAGTTTTTCATAAACCGAATTCCCTAAATAGAAGTTGGTTTATCTGTCTCTAACGTCTCTCTGTCTCTATGTCTATATCTCTGTCTTTCTCTCTCTTTTCTGTCTCTGTCTCTGTCTCTGTCTCTCTCTCTCTCTAGTTATTTTGCTTTTTGGCCACATTCAGAGATTCTCAGGGGTTTCCAGAACCATATGGAATGCTGGGAATCAAAACCCTACCAGTGTCATACAACATAAACACCCTAACTACTGTACTATTGCTCCAGGCCCTCTACAGTCTCTTAGTATCTACTTTGTCTTCTAAGTTTACAAAAGGAAAGTTTGAATCAGTTGTGACCATCTACTCTGAGGAGGACTTTTGTTTCAAACTCTCCAGGAGATCTCTTCTCTCAAAGCATAGAATGATGAACATTTCATACGGATCCTGGATTCTTAGCACCTGGACCCCATTCTTATCTCTGACAGCATCTCCACATCCATCTGGCAGACCTCCTGATATCCTTCATATCAGCACCTTTCACAATGAAGGATATGAAAAGAAGTCCTCAACAGCACTTCCATTCTAAAGTACCTAAAAAAATCAGTACTTATTTTATGAAAAAGTATCTATCAGTAGCTTTCAAGTGTCATATCAGTACTTTCATTTTCAGAACCTCTTAGTTTGTTCCAGAACTTTGCAGTTACCTTCCACCCCTCTTGTCACAACATGTGTCCAGAAACATTCCCTACCTCCCAATTCCTTTGAGAACCTGGCTTAACCAAGGGCACTTAGATGATTGCTCTGGTCTCATCTGCACCCTGGAGGGATCAGAGTAGGAAGTGGGTTCTGTCTACTGTGGAACCATTTTAAAATGAAAATCTCGATGTTAGCTCTGTCTAACTTATAAAATACCAGAAAGGAGGCCTAGAAAGGTGCTTCTGTATGAAAAAAATTGGTCATAGAGTTGCTACCTCCAGATAAACCCAATTATGAACAGATTTCTATAGACCTCAGGGGTGGATTGTCCGATCATTAGAATCTTAGCATTAGTATCTGAAGTCAACAAACTGCCACAGGTTGGGTGGCTAAAACATCAAAAATTTGTCTTGTAATCCTTTAAGTCAGAAATCTCAATCAAATATCTAGCAGGTCCAGTACCTTCTGAAGCTATGATTCATGCCTCACTGCTAGCTTGTGCTGGTTGGCTGGTGATCTTCAATATTCTTTTGCTTGTAAGTACATCACCTTTATTTCTACTTTCAACTTTACTGTGTGTGTACAGGCTCTTACGGCCAAAATTTTCTTCTTATAAAGACACCAGTCTCTGATTTAGGAACTCACTCCACTCAGTTTTATCCTATTTTAAGTAATTCCATCGGCAATGAACCTGTTTCTAAATTCTGAGGTACAGGGGATTAGTATCTGAGGGAGTTGAAATCACAATTTCTTTTTGTTTAACATATAATTACTAAGTTAATGTGATTTGCAATGTGCTTATGTTTTAGATATAAATATTACTCTGTTGTATTCACCCCTAAAGTGCTAAAAATATCACAACTGCTGTCTCTAAGCCTCTTCTGGTCTTCCTCTTCATTTCCACGCCCCTTGATAACCTCGGTTATGTTGTCAGAGTCTAAGGGTTTCTTTTCTTGGGACATTATCTATTTTCTTGCTTAGTTACTTTACATAACATAGGCAAATGAGATCATCTGGTATTTGTCTTTCTCCTTCTGTTTTACTTCATTTCATATAATACCCTCAGTTCTAATCATGCTTGAGTAAATGGCAACATTCCACCTTTTCTTAAAGTTGGAATATTATTTAACTGGAGACACAATTCAACCTTTAATAGTTCCTAAATGAAAGACCGTCCACCTTCTTCATCTTCCAGAATCATTGACACTGAAGGAGAAGATGAGGAGAAAAAGATAAAGTACTGGTGATAAAGTTTCCCAATAACCAGAGAGTTGAATTCAACTCTGACTCACAGAGATGATCTACAGTTTTATGTACAAAGTAAATGCTTGAGTGCTTGGATATCTCTCAGCAATAAAGTCACAAATAACTTTATTTCCAGGCAAGTTGTTCTAGATCAGCAAATCAGTGCTGTTATATTGGTGAGGCTGAGTGTCTTGGGTAATAGATAAAATTTATCACCCAGATGATTAACTGGGACTGTTAGAAGAATGACAGACATCTGATGACTAGAATTGTGTATCCTTTGGTGAAGTTGGGAAACATGGAGATTGAAGTCCTTCTTGACCAAACATTCCCTTACCCATTGTTTGGGCTTTTAGCCTTCCCGTGAGGGGTGTGTACAAAATAAACAGGATCTGGAGATTTTAATGGAATGCTGTCTATTGAGGCAAGTGGCCTCAGACATAGTCTGTCAGCTTGAACAAAGAACACATCCGTTTCATGAAGTCAATAGTTTATTTCTGGGTTCCTCTGCCAGACCTCCAGAAACAGTGTCCCCCAACAGAGAGGAGCAATGCAACTTGTAGAAAGAGCAGGGACTTAAGAGACACTTGAGGGGCTGAAGAGATATTATATCGAGTAGGCACTTGCCTTGCACAAGGCTGGCCCAGGTTCAATCCTTGACATCTCATATGGTCCCTTGAGCCCGCCAGGAGTGATTTCTCAGTGCAGTGCCAGGTGTCAGCCCTGAGCACTGTGGGGTGTGACCCAAAACAAACGGGAGCACTGGAGCACTGTCCTCCTGTTGTTCATCGATTTGCTCGAGCGGGCCCAGTAATGTCTCCATTGTGAAACTTGTTACTGTGTTTGGCATATCCAATCCGTCACAGGTAGCTTGCCAGGCTTTGCTATGTGGGCGCGATACTCTCGGTTGCTTGCCGGACTCTCCGAGAGGAGTGGAGGAATGGAACCCTGGCGCAGCCGGTGGCTGTGTGTAAGCCAACCGCCCTACCTGCTGTGCTATCACTCCAGACCCCAAACAAACAAAATTAAAAAAATAATAATAAAAATTTTAAAAAAAGAAGGCACGGGCTGGAGAGATAGCACAGCAGGTAGGGTGTTTGCCTTGCACCTGGCCGACCCAGGTTCGATTCCCAGCATCCCATATGGTCCCCTGAGCACTGCCAGAAGTAACTCCTGAGTGCAGAGCCAGGAGTAACCCCTGTGCATTGCTGGGTGTGACCCAAAAAGAAAAAAAAAAAAAGAAGGCACTTGGGTCCAGTCTGCGCAATACCATTAACAAGCTGTGTGGCCTTTAAACTCCTTGCCTTCTAATTCCATCCTCTGGATGATCTTGGGGATGTTCCCTGTAGACTGACTTTAACCCTTATAACTGGTTACATTTCTGCCTTTTTTCCACCTCTAGTGAAGTTCCCTTCTCCTCTTTTTTTGCCATCTCTGGTTGTGCACAGGACTTACTCCTGGCTCTGCACTCAGGAATCACACCTGGCAGGGATCAGGGGACCATATTGAGTGCTAGGGATTGAACTTTGGTGAACTGTGTGCAAGACAAGCACCTAACCCTCTATATTATCTCTCCAGCCTCATGAAGTTCCACTTTTTACTGGGAATAGACCATACTCCTTTATACAGACATGATCCCTACTGCTGAGGAATGGCTGCTAAAATGGAATCTATGGAGGGGGAGGGGGAGGGGGAAGAACAAAAGAAAATTATAGACCCATAAATAAAGCGCAATATATAAATTCAAGATTTCACACCCTGGAAATGGATTTCACTAACTTGAAGCTGTATCACTGTATCACTGTCATCCCATTGTTAGTTGATTTACTCAAGTGGGCACCAGTAACACCTCTATTCCTCCCAGCCCTGAGATTTTAGCAGCCTCTCCTTACTCACCCTTCCCAATGATTGGAGGCTCTTTCAGGGTCAGGGGAATGAGACCTGTAACTTGAAGCTAGGTTAACAAAATTTGTCAAATCAAAAGTGTGGGGGAGGGAAAA